TCTCACATGGGGGAGTTGTTGTCTCACATGGAGGTGTTGTTGTCACACATGGAGGAGTTGTTGTCTCACATGGAGGAGTTGTTGTCACACATGGAGGAGTTGTCTCACATGGAGGAGTAGTTGTTTCACATGGGGGAGTAGTGGTCACACATGGAGTTGTTGTTGAGCACGGTTGCTCGGAGTCAGGCGCACCTGCGTCTGCGCCTAGATGAATACGAAGGGCCAAACCTCTAAAATTGAAGCAGTTGACTTGGCTGGATGTTTTACACGACTTGCTATCCTCGTCAAATGACTGTCCTAAGTTACAGCTGTGATGTACTGGTCGGCCGCGGGTGCAGACATAATATCCGGCACATCTGGTGGGATCCGCTAGATGGTAGCCATCTGCAACGTTGTTGCAGCTGGGTCGCAACTGCTTTTTGTCAGCAATTGTGGGCTGCAAGGAGACTGCGACAGCAGTCACCAGCCCAACAAGGATAACATTTACTGCAAAAGTACAGGCGGAAGGCCATTATACGGATTCCTCATGACATTCTGTTTCACTTACAAAATTTCATCGGAGTCTCTGGTCTTGGTAAAAAGGACAACTAGTGGAAGTGGTTTACTTTACCGCTTTCGACTCCCAATGGATACAGTAAAAGCTTCAGAGGTGTCTTTTATACCCCACTAGAACGTTTGTCGCCATCTCAAGTGCCTTACCATACAATTTGGCTAATTGACAGCATTCAATTTGCTGTGCAGACAATGTTTATCTTATTGACAATATAAACATTAATATGTAGATAATGGATGCCACAAATTATATAACATTTGCATGTTACTCCAAGCTGCAGCTGCACCTGCATTTTATACTCATTGAAACTTTTAAGAATGGGTATATCAAGGCAGATTTTTTTCCTATATAATTTCGGCTTCAGTATTGGTATTATCTAAAGAAATTTTTCAGCCCAGTTAAACATCGTCATTAATTATAAGTCATAATAATTTTACTTCGTTCTCCATGCAGGCTAAAAGAATCGAGATTTTCTAATTAGAAGCTATAAAAAGATTTCGATCCATACTTTCTCGCTTTCTCATTTACGAGCCATCCAACTTAAATAAGTACCAGTTATTTCAGATAGATGAATTTCAAGTGTCTTAAAGTACCTTTATCAATAGTTTTGCTCTTTATCTCTTGGTACACAAGTTCTCGTGTTCAGTTTCAACAGAACAGCATGAGGGTGTCTTACAAATCATTACTGCGACAAAGAGTCGGAGTCGCAACTGCCCATGGGTCAGAGACAAAGGCGATCAAGGCCTCATGTAGTCCAGACTTTTGCATCATAAAGATAAGTTCTAGGTAGAATTATCGCGCGATGTTTTACAAATTTTTGTGTATATTTCTTTTTCCACTATTATACATTATTTCTTATCAACCAACCAGTCGAAACTTGTTATGGGCATTTATGGAATAAAAGTTGGAGAATAAATTAAAAAGAGAACAAAACTATTATAGCTAGCAGCAGTATTTAAATCAAACGTAAATTGTATTCGTCTGTGCATACTCAATAGTCAAACACACTACAAAGCAAAAGTGCCAGCTCGAAAGACAAGTACGCGGAAGGAAGTTGTCCGTCAGACAGTTGAGCAAAGCCAAGGTCTTTGTTATAATACCCCCAAGGTAAGAATAGGAGAGAGATAAATAGGGGACCGTAAAAATTGTAGGCCGAGAGAATCAAGCGCTTACATCATAAATTGAAGCGCTCTCATTTATTTCTATGTGTGCTTAGGCAAAAAAAAAAAAAAACTGGTATCAATATATAAGAGCTCAAGGTGAGATGAGTAAATTGAGCATGAGAGCCAATAGCGCATGGAGCTGTATCTGGTAATATATATCTTCTAATTACAGCTATAATATCGTATATACGGATTGATTGATGGGTAATGATCAACAGAGCCGTAAAAGCTAAAAACAATTTTATTTGTATGAAGTACAGTTATTTTCATAATTTTAATAACATGTAATCTTTCTTTCTCTGCCCATCTCTCTCCTTCGGTCTTAGGCAGTTTATAAATATAAATACCCACAGTTCAACCATTCTTCCATTCTGTTCTCCCGCCGGAAAAGCTGTTTCACCCACGCAGCTTGCTTGCATTGTCCGTGCAAAGGGCGTCTCTATCATCTGCCCATCTAGTATAAAGTCTAGCTAATAAGCCTTGTTCCATAACAATGCAAAGGATTGTGTTGGACATCCCATTAGAGCCGGGTAAGTCAAACAGTGACAGTCACTTATAAGAAATCTGTGCACAGCTTGTAACTGACAAGAACGCCTGGTAATGGTCACTCTTCTCTATTAGCTTTTCTGTGACCTCTTACCTCCCATATTGGCTTCTACCCTTTGCACGCCTGCGTCTCATATTCTGTTACTATCAAATATCTATACAGCGCTATACTGATGGTTGATTATGTTAGTGACATTCACCGTGACTATCGTTCATCTCTACCCATTTGCTTCACTCTCATTCTTCTTCTAGATTTTCACTTTCTTCGCCTTTGTTTGTCCCATCAAAAGCTTGTTCAAGCCGGCTTTAACCACTTGAAATGCAGGCTGCCTCCGTGTCAGTTTGCTTGGGCTCTTAAATTGTTGCATAGAATTTTAGATGCTTGTGGCCAATAAAAACATTAATTGAGCACTTAACATGTGTGAATGACTGCTTCTTTTTTATGCAGTGCACACAAAATAAATAATGTAAAAATTAGAATGAAAACAGGGCATAAAGAGTTAATTTAAATTCGCCCCTGCTTTGCACTTTGTCTTTCACGCAATGGACTTTGTATAAATCGCCGAATTTCAACATAGCCCAAAAAAATTAAGGTGGCGTGATGACTATAAATAAACATGAAAACAATAAAAGCAACAGCAATCATATTCCGTGTGATAAAAAATAAAATAAACACAAAAGGTTTTAGAGTTCGCGCCAAAGCCCAAGTGCACACACTTAGATAAGGGCAGAAGGTTGTATAAAATGATGAGCGCATTACACATTTTGGATTTTCAATTACAGCTACGGAAATATGTATATACTTATGTATGTATATAAATTATATATGGATATTATTATTATTAATTTTAATTTTGATTGGTTCTAGGCACAATAAGATTGGTGCAGAAAACAAGCATAGCTATAAATATATATTCTTCTAGATAAATATATACATATACATATACATACATACAAATAATAAAACACATATATACATATACTTAGTGGCGCCACTTGCGAAGCAACAGCTGACAATTGGCAGCTAGCAAGGCGCAAATATTCAACAATTTCAAAGAGTAGCGCACACACTTACACACAGCTTCAAGGTCATACACAAATATTAATTTATGCATAACAGAAAAGGCAGAGAGAAAATTTACGCTCTCGCTTTCTCCCCAGCAACAAGAGGGGGCGCAACTGGTTGGCACGCATCTCTAGAAATCATTTAAAAGGCGCATTTGCCCGCACGTGTCGAGTGGTTTAGACTCACAAGTTCATGTTGTATTGCTGCGCACTTGACTTTACATTCATATATGTATGTACATATATTAATTATATGTGCACAGAGAGGAATAGATAAATAGAGAGAGACTACTGATTACAACTGTAACTCGCTCTCTTCTTGAAGACTGCGTTGACGCGTACATACATACATACATACATACATACAGATCTCTGGTAATGAATTTACAGCGCACTTGAACTGGTTCAAGTTCACATGTTCACCATTGTTGCTGCGCATTTGCTTTAGTATTTCGAGTGCAACGCATAACTGAATACAAAGAAGACATAAAGAGAGCAAAAGTGTGGGTGAGATATACATACATATATATGTATATATGTATGTGAAGAGAAACAGAAAAAGAGAGAATTTGCCGGCTCTTTCGATGTTTTTATTTTAAAATCTCAAAAGACATTTATTGGACTGCAACAATTGGCCAATTTGCACTTTAGGCAGAAAAAAATAATAATAATTCGTGCTTATTTGCGTGCTAGGCTTTGGCCTTCGCAACAATTTACATAATAAAACTAATCAAATATTCGGTGCTGATGATAAGGCTGGTAGATTGGCCGATTACACCATGCTACGACGAATGGCGTCACACCACCCACCTACACACACATACACCACGACCTTCTTGCGAATCGAAATGTGTCACAGCTCAAAAGAAGAAAAATAGTTAATGTTAACTGCTTATAGCGAACAAGCAATTCGTGAGCAAAAGAAACAGTATGTGCATGTGTGTGAACCATGGTTTGACTCATCCAATGACTACTCTCACTCTCCTTCTCTTGCTCTCTCTCTCTCTGTCGCACTCCCTCAGCTGTTGCCAATTCTTTGTTTACAAACAAACATCAGCACTTTAAATTCAAATAAAGCACGAAGTTGTTAGCACGTTTGTTGTTGTAGTATAAGATTCATATTTTATACTGAGCTCACATGTGGGGGATTAGATCATCAAAAGGAAAAATGACGAGCATTTGAATTTGTTAATACATCAGCCAATTGCTTGCACTTCCACACATACACGCTCGTTACATTAGATTAGTTGCCTGCTAAGCGCCACTCGAAACGGATTTAACAAGCTCATATAAGACGAGCTCAGGAGTACGCATACACATACACATCATAGACACACATTGCATTGGCATACATAGGCACGCAGTTGCTGCAGTTAATCGCATACTCTCCGTCTCTCTTGCTGCTCTCATTTGATATTGCATATCTATGCAGCTAAGTGTTCGCAGTTAATCACACTCTCTCGTTTCTCTCAATTGATATTGTGTTCTCACGGTTTCATTTATGCAAATGCGCGCGTATACATATCTCTGTGTATATGTCTGTGTGAGAGAGTATGGGCTAAACGTGTCGCCTCGCCTCTTGCAGTCTCAGCTGTTTGCTCAATTGGCAGCGCTTCAAGTGTTGTGATTAATTCGCAACGAACTCATTCAATTACACAATTTTATAAGATGATGCGCACACAACATGAATAACAAATATATCAGCGAATACACGTGCCGAATTAATCAGCAAATCAATAATTTCTGCATTCAATTCGATTGTATAGACAAAAACATAAATGTATATACTAAAGATAGCTGAAATCCCTTTCGTGTCACGACATTCACCCCAACTCTAATTGAATTCCATATAAATTGCGTGAGTACATGAGCTCACAGCAATAACAATGGGCAAAGGTTAATGACAGCGTGCTGGGGCGCAATATGCAAAGAAAGGAGAGCGCAAAAAGTAAAAAAACAAATCAAATATCTAATTAGAAAACAACGAGTGAGTTCAGAGTGGGTGGGTTAAGTGAATCGCACTTCGAAAAAAAACAAAAACAAATTCGATCACACAAAAAAATCACTGCTTTGGCAATGACATGTTGCACGTGCCTTGGTGCGAGCAAGATGGCAGGAGGAAGGGAGGGAATGTAGCAGGTAATATATGCAGCCGGCGTTTAGCCTTCAGGTCGAAATGGCACTGGGTGAGGCAATCCTTGTGTTTAACAATTAAATGGAGCCCGTAACAACAATGTGGATATACTGGTTTCTTACATGCAGTAGTTGGTTGTTTGTTTTCTTCTTTTTTTAATATACATATGTATGTATGTATGTACACACACATACTTATAACTTACCAAATCGACAGACAGCCCAACCATGTCGGCCAGCCAGGAAAAAATGCGGCTGCCATCGTAACAATCATTCTCAATAAATTTGGGCGATTCGAGCATTTTGAATTTGGTTTTCTGGTACTCTCTTTCTTGCCTTTATTACTTCATTTGGAACACAGTTAATTCACAATTTAGCGCGTGGATGTGGTTCACAATGAGAGAATTTCGACGTCGCGTTCAACAAATTATGGAAAATTATAGACAACTTTATATTTGTGCTTTGTTGTGGCTTTATAGACTTGCGAATTTTGTGCAATAATTTTTATTCCTTGCTTGCTCTGCGTATATACATATGTATATCTATTTATTTTGTAATCGCACTATGCGTGCGTCAAAGAAATAAAAAGCGAACGTTTTCTTTGCGCCGCGCTCCTCACACTTACGACCGACCCGATTGGAAGAGAGAATCTTACTGCGAGCAAATTCTGGTTGAAATGTTTCCGATGCCGAAATCAAAACCAAAAAAAAATAATAATAATGTACACACACATGTGTTTTTGTAGGTGTGTTAGTGAGTAGTCAAACTTAAGCCTAGTGATTCAATGAAAAAGTATCCATTTCGAGTAACTACTATTTCTATGGCGTATTAGAAATATATCGAGTCTAGACACATCTTAACATTAACTCGCACTGTTATTAACAGCTGACAATGTTCTATATCTAACAATCCCCTCAAGAATTTATTTCCCATGGACAAAATTTTTTATATAGTTTACGAAACCAAGTAATAAATATTATGTGAAAGATATTTAACTATAGAATCGGTTCTAGATTTTGATTTGAATGTAACAGCTGTACTCGGATGCTATATAAACGAGTAATGTTAGCTGTATCAAAATATAATCGATACTTTGAAAAATAAAAAACAGCTGTACAAGAAGCCGCCAACAAATATTTTGAATCAAATTTTAATGATATTGTTAATAATTTCTGTTTTATTTAAAAATTGATATTTTAAATACAGACAAAATAAATCATTTGTGTACAAGTAATATTTTGCATATATTATATTAAACTTTTTTTATTAAAATACAGTAATTAAAACTCCAGTTGAATGGTTGACAATGAAATCATCTGTGATTGCTTTGCTGCTATTAAAAGCATTTTAATAATAATCGTTAGGTCCTAATAAAAGTTTTGAATTATAATTATTAGAGGAGTTAAATTGTAGTTGAAAACAAAAACTACATATCATTTGTAAAATCAGCTATCGATATTTCGATTGTTAATGTCAGCGCTCATGTTAAGAAGCGTAACGTTAACAGTTTTGTTGACATTTTCGACTGTGTTATTAGGGATTGCGTCGCAAGCAGGAAATATGTACTAAATGCGAGTTTAATTAAAAAGAAATAGCTTCTATACCAAATAAAAGTAGAAAAAGCCGTGTCGAAAACTAGCAGATTGAACGGAAAGAAGTATTTACAATGAACATATACAACAGACTGCGCAGCAGAGAACATGGATTGGGTAAGGCGAAACTAAAAACAATTTTTTTTTGGCGCTCGAAATGAAGAAGAAAGTTCGCGCCGATCGCTCCTTGCGCGGTTAAATCGAGCGCCAAAAAGAAATTAGTTGTGAGTTATGAAATTGCTATGCAAATTGGGTTTAAAGTGTTGTAATATGAGTTATTGAGATTTTGCTGAGCTTGCAAAAGCAAATTTGGAGCGTAAACAAAGCGCAAAAGCATTTTAAACGAATTTATAACTAATTTAACTGTCATTACAGCCAATGATTGTTCCTATGACTTTGCGCTGCATCGCTTGTGTGTCTACAAGCAAGACAGCTGGCGCGGCATTGCGCCAGCCAACTACAGTCCAGATTTCAATCCGGAGCCCCCGATATTTTCAGCGAAGTTCGCCAACTGTGATGGATACCGACATATTCTGGCTATAGCCAATGAGGATGGTAAGATTGCGCTGCAGGACACGACGGTGCGCAACCAGGAGACGGAGGAGCAGGCACTGAGTGCCCCACAATGCCACTACAATGCGGTCTTCGACTTGGAGTGGGCGCCGGGACAAATGCGTTTCGTGTCCGCCTCGGGAGATCACACGGCCCGTCTGTGGGAAGTCTCCGGGTCGGGCATACGTGGTCTAAACTCCTACGTGGGTCACACCAGATCTGTAAAGACGGCCGCTTTCAAGCGCACAGATGCAGCCGTCTTTGCCACAGGAGGGCGCGATGGCGCTATACTGATCTGGGATATACGCGCGAGCCTCCACGCGGATCTCACTTCGCGTGTGGACAACTGCATCTACAGCGGTCACACGGGTGGGCCGGGCACACCTCAGTCGCAGCGCAGACAGAGGACCAGAACGCCCAAGATGACCAACTACAGCAGCAACACGTCGAGCAGCATCACGGGCTTGGCCTTCCAAGACAACGACACGCTGATCTCTTGCGGAGCTGGCGATGGTGTGATCAAGGTCTGGGATCTGAGGCGCAATTATTCGGCCTACAAGAAGGAGCCATTGCCGAGGCACAGCCTGCCCTATGCCGGCTCCTCCACGTTCAAGGGATTCACCAATCTCATAGTCGATGCATCGGGCACGCGGCTCTACGCCAACTGCATGGACAATACGATCTACTGCTACAACCTCGTCTCCTATGCAGCCAAGCCCATGGCCAGCTACAAGGGCCTGCTCAACTCCACGTTCTACATCAAGAGCTGCCTCAGCCCCGATGGCAAGTACTTGCTCAGCGGCAGCAGCGACGAGAGGGCCTACATCTGGAACTTGGACCATGCGGCTGAGCCGTTGGTTGCCCTCGCTGGTCACACAGTGGAGGTCACCTGTGTGGCCTGGGGCTCCACGCATGATCGTCCCATTGTCACCTGTAGCGACGATGCCCGGCACAAGATTTGGCGCATTGGTCCTCAGCCGGAGAGCCTGACGGCAGCCGAACGAGCAGAGATGTTTCGTGGGCAGTCGAGCTATGTGAGGGAGTTCGGTGGGGCAGCCAAGGCCAGCTCCTCCTCCCAGCACAAGTACAATCTGCGAGACTTGGAGTCGACACCGCGATCACTGAAGCGGCTCATGGAGCAGAACGAGCGCACGCCCAGCTCCGTGGAGAAGACAAGCATCAAGCGTTCCTTCCTGGAAATGCTGGGCGGCATCGGCGCTGGCAGCGATGGCAATCAGCAGCTGGACCAGCAACTGGAGCAGCCGCAGCAGAAGCGCACCAAGACCTTTGAGTCCAGAGGACGTCGCCTATTCGCAGCCAGCAGTCAGCCGCAGCCACAACCGCAGCAGCAGCTGCCAGGTATAGTAGAAGAGGAAGCGTCTGCCACGCTGTCCAGCAATCAGGAGAATGCCCAGGAACAACTGGCAGCCCCCGCGACTGCAGCTGCCAAGCTGTCGACACCTTCGCCTTTGAGTGAGCTGCCAACGAATCACAACTACAACTCGCCGCCCACAACATCTGCTCAAGCGGCTGCCGCAGCAGCAGCAGCAGTTGCAGCTGGAGCCAGCTCAGCGAACTCAGCAAACTCTTCGCTTTCGCCGCCCTCGCTCAGCTCGTTGATCTACTCGCCCACCTCGAACCTGCCCAACTATGTTCTAGACGGCGAGGCACCGCACCTGACCATCATGTCGCCCAAACGCAAGGCTAAGGAGAAGGTCGACTGGCTGACGAAGATACGCAAGCAGAAGCTTATGAGCCGGGGCAGCCTGACCCTCAGCGAGAAGATGGGCATGGAGGATGCATCGCTGGATGTGCTGGCCTCGTCGCCGCGTCTCCAAAGCCTGCGCCACTCCGAGTGCAGTCCTCGTCTGCAGGCTACGCCCAGGCGGCGCATATCGCACTCCGATAATAATGCTCCGCATCTCCGCACGCCCACCTCGAGCCGACGGAACAGCGAGACGACGTTGCTGCGCTTCTTCAGTGTGCAGCGCAGCGGAAGCGTGACTGAAGCTGCCGACGCTGCCGGGGATGCTGCTGCCAACCAAGCCGACCTGAATCCCTTGTCCCCGCCAGGTCCAGCGCCCGCTGCAGTGAGTCCCCTGCTGCGACACACGCCCAGGGCAGCCGTTGGCAGTGACTGATCCTGTAGCCACGGAATATGCCCTCTCCTACTGTTGTACAATCACGAATCCCAAATTCAGCCCTACCCATCCCGATTCTCTGTACTGGACATACCTTAGCCTAAGTCTCTAAATTTAAGTCCTTTCCCCAGCTTAAGTCAACGAAATGGCCTTTCACACTTTTGTACAAAAACTATGTATATCGTATTTGTAGTCCATATAGTATATCTTATTTATTTATAGTCTGTATAGCTCTAAGTTCTCCTGACATGCATGCGCTTTTGGCTGGGTCAAGTTTACTTTTAACGACAATAAAAACATAATTTGTTTTTGAGGTTAAGTCTGCATCAACTTAGCTCTTTGATGGGGAGTGCCCGATTCGAAGACCAAAGAATGGATTTTACTGGGCTTCTCCTCGATGTATTCCCCATCCAGTTTATTCCAGTGAAACAATCCATTAAAACAATTCAAGTCTTCTTTTGTTCAACTAGCTAAGCTTACATAAATCTTAATTTTCTTTAACATGTTCTAAATCGATATTTTTCCGTCATTGCAATTTCTTTGTGATCTTTGGGTCATCATACGTTAGGTATATTTGTTTTTGCTTCTCCTGCTCCTTCTCACGCTCCATCTGCTGCTGCTGCTCCAGGTGACGCTTCTGCTTTACCAGCGCATTTAGCTTTATGATATGCCGGATATGACGTGCCACGCCCACCAACAACACCAGGTGGCTCACGTGTAGAACGATGCTGGAGAAGTTGGTGCTCGGAAAGGTATTGAAGCTATACTCGATGCCGCCTAGGATTAGGAAGCGTACGCCTACCGAGTACGGCGTGGACCAGACCAGGTAGGGCAGCGAGTGGAAGTACCAAACATAGAACTGATAATGCAGCGAGCGGGCGCAGACGACGCCGATGAAGTTGCACAGGAAGAAGGGCAGCAGAGCCAATTGGGTGCAGTGCTCGAAGGAGATATCGTAGTGCTTCCGCTTGGACTCCTTGACTGGGGCAGGGGGTCGCTTTTGCCCAGTGGCGTTCTGCAGCCCTTTTTCGAATGACTTCAAGAAGGACTTTTGCTCAGCCGTTAGCTCCTCCTCATCCTCCTCCATGTTGTCCGGCTCCAACTCCTGCGCTTGCTCCTGCAGCTGGGACTTCCTCGATTTGCTCTTGTGATGGGACTTTTTCTTAGCAGCCTTCGCCAGCTCCTTCTCCTCGCGATTCTTCACCATTAGTTGCGGCAGTATAAACTGTTGCACCTCGCGCAGGTTCACGTAGCTCTTGAAGAACGTCCAGGTGTACTTGGCAAAGGCCAGGAGCAATAGCAAGTGCAGTCCCAATAGCGCCAAATGAAACTCGCGCTGCTCGAACAGCTCCCGACTCAGGAACCTATAGTTTACCGTCCACTTGTGCTCAAAGATGCGACCCAGGTCGAAGCTCCCGGTCAGATACTCCACTGGATGAGTGCGCAGAAAGGGATAAGCTATCACCACCTGGATTAGTCCGCATATGAAGAGGTGCACAATAGTCAAGAGCACGCCCAGGTTGGCCAAGTAGAACAGCAGCAGCGCCGGCGCAAAGAGCAAAATGTTCATCTTAACGCCTACAGCAAGGCTGTAGAAGATGCTGCCCCAGATCCAGCGGCTATCCATGAACAGATTAAGCGACGCGTACAGCAGCAGCACGGCCACGGGATCGTTGAAGAGGCGAAGCACATAGATCGAGTGTATGCGATAGGACGTAAAGGCGCTCAGCACCAATAAGTATGGCGGTACCTTGCGACTCTTGGCATAAAGCCGCAGAGCGAGGCACATTTGTAGCAAGTAGACGCCGGTGTATATGTACTGGGCCAGGCGCACGTTGCTGCCGTGGGCGGTCAAGTAGTAGAGTGCAGAGTATATGTAAACAAAGGCAGCCGGATAGACCAACGGGCCGGTGTCACCTGCGGAGGATTCAAAACATACACTGTGAAAGTAATTCAAATCGCGATGATGGCAGACAAAGCAAAGTTATCGAATCAGCCAGCTATCGAAAAGAGCTTTATGTCTATAAAATATCGCTGGGTAAAAGCTGAGAGAGAGAGAGAGAGAGAGCGCACAATGTGTGTATTGATGCATGGTAGTTATTACGGACGTTAGAGATGGTTGCCTGACGGGACACACGGTAACTATATCATAATTGAGCTCTTTGATTCTACATGTTATGCTATTTAATTCAGCAGCAATTAAATTAGTTCGATTACGCGTTATCTCCTTCTCTCAACAACAGCTGTTCAGTTAGCGGGCAAATTATTTTGCGAGAACAATCTATCGAACACATGTGTGTGTTCGTGAGCGAAATGTTTACGCAACGCGGTGACTGTCAAAATGTCAAAGTGAAAAAAATGAGAGAGAGAACATTTTGTATTAAGCAGCATGGAGGTTATTACGGCATGTTGTTAGAGCTGGCTGCCAAATAGAGAGAGAAGATAAATAGAGTTTAACTATAACAATTAATGGACAAAATGATTTCGTGTAAAAATTTATGTGTTTTGCGCCAACTGCCGTTCAAGGGCTGCTGCCGTCAATACAACGCCACATTGTTGTCCGGGCGGCTGGCCAGTTGGACGACGAGAGCCGCTGCCAGTTCAACGGTTGGAGTTGCTACCTCCGCCTGGCAACAGAGGGCGCCACACCAGCGGCAGCAGCAACTACAACAGCAGCAGCAGCAAAGGCGAAGTATCTTCAGCTCGAGTCGTCTGAACGCCAAGGACTACTATGCCACACTTGGCGTGGCCAAGAATGCCAGTGCGAAAGACATCAAGAAGGCATACTACCAGCTGGCCAAGAAATACCATCCGGACACGAACAAAGATGATCCCGATGCGAGCAAAAAGTTCCAGGAGGTGAGCGAGGCCTACGAAGTGCTCAGCGATGATCAGAAAAGGCGGGAGTACGACACCTACGGCCAGACCACAGAGAACATGAACAGGCAGGGCGGTGCAGGAGGATTCGGAGGCGGCGGCCCCTTCGGAGCCGAGGGCTTTGCACAGAACTGGCAATTCCGCTCGACCATCGACCCAGAGGAGCTCTTCCGCAAGATATTCGGCGAGGGCAACTTTCGCAGCAACAACTTCGACGACTTCGCCGACTCGAAATTTGGCTTTGGCCAGGCACAGGAGCTGGTCATGGATCTGACCTTCGCCCAGGCGGCGCGTGGCATCAACAAGGACGTTAACGTCAACGTCGTCGACCAGTGCCCCAAGTGCGCCGGCTCCAAGTGTGAGCCGGGCACCAAGCCAGGCCGCTGCCAGTACTGTAACGGCAGCGGCTTCGAGACCATATCCACGGGCCCCTTCGTCATGCGTTCCACCTGTCGGTACTGTCAGGGCACACGCCAGTACATCAAGTACCCGTGCGCCGAGTGCGAGGGCAAGGGCCGAACAGTGCAGCGCCGCAAGGTGACGGTGCCAGTGCCCGCGGGCATCGAGAACGGCCAAACGGTGCGCATGCAGGTGGGCAGCAAGGAGCTCTTCATCACCTTCCGCGTCGAGCGCAGCGACTACTTCCGGCGGGACGGCGCCGATGTCCACACGGACGCGCCGATCTCTCTCTCCCAGGCCGTGCTTGGAGGCACCATCCGCGTCCAGGGCGTGTACGAGGACCAATGGTTGAACATCGAACCGGGCACCTCGTCGCATCGCAAGATCGCCCTACGCGGCAAGGGCCTGAAGCGCGTCAATGCCCACGGCCACGGCGATCACTTCGTTCACATTAAGATCGACATCCCTAAGAAGCTGAGCCAGCAGCAGCGCGCACTCATAGAGGCCTACGCCGAGCTGGAGGAGGACACGCCCGGGCAAATCAACGGCATGGCGGAGCGCAAAGACGGCAGTAAGAAAGCAACGTAAATACTTAAAACTCCCAACTTTTGAGAAAACCCATCCAAAGCAAACGGAAGAGCAGGGGAACGCAGATCTGTATTTGCAGTATCCTCTTTTGATATTTTAAATATAATATAATCTACACGCAACTTATAGATCGATCTGGCTCTCTCTGGCATAGTTCATTTCCGATCGAGGAAACAGCCCACTTTCAAATAGGCCTTACACTGCTCACGCAATGTTGGCACAGTTAAGCTTAAAACAAACGGACTAGATAAATAACTAAAGTTATATTTTGTTGTGTTCCCAAATGACCACGACTTAAGTTCATTCTGAATTCAGGATTATTGAAATCGACAGCTTGTAATTTTGACCATTTTCAAATATTCCTAGGCTATTCAGTTGAAGTACATGATTGATTCCTAGATCTTCTGAGGAACAGACTGCATGGGCCTACACTGTCTTATGTTTCTCACTTTATTCCGCCCCACGAAATGGAGGCCTAACATTAGTACCTCCAATGCTCGCTCCAGCAGTCTTGCGCTACGTTAAGGCCTAACATTTCCCGCTAACGGCTCCATCAATTATGTTATTTAACTTCCCTATTCTTCTGCTTCTAGCGCAGGTCCTAGCAAAGCGAACGGGCCAGAAGGTAGAGAAGGAACAGCCAAAGGAACTCAAGGAGAAAACAGAGGCACAAAAGCAACATCAACAAGCACAACGAAGGACGAAGAAATCGAAAAATCCGAAAGACGAACAGGAGAAAGTGGTGGAAGCGACGGCGTAGGCTTCCTTAGCAAAATCAAATCCTTGTTCAACTGAGTTGAATTTGTCTATGTCTTGTTATCGATAACTGTTTTGTAATCGCCAATTGACCTACAAATGCCTTAATTTTTCTTTCTTTTAAGTTTTGTTATTGTACAGTCTAGGGGCTATATATATATAGATTCCATTAAGTGGAAACAAATCGAAGAAAAATACAACCAAATTGAAAGTCGACATTCGCCTTGTTATAGATAACTTTGGTTTGCAGTTACCGTTGCTTAACTAAATGTAAATTTAACGGAATCTGTAATTCTAAAAGAAAGGGGGACATTTTCGAAAACCATCGGAGGATTCATTGATGGAAAGCGAAGTTCGGAAATGATAAGTTAGGAAATAGGGAACTTTCGTTAATGGATAAAACGAGTTTGCTCCAAAACTCTGCCTTTTGCATAAGTTCTCTATTGTTAAAGGTAATTCTCTTTGACTCTGTCGCGTACTCTCTCTCTCGCTCTCTGTTTTTAACGGCTGCCTGGTTTCCAAAAATAAACTAAAAGACAAATTGGGAGGGAATTTACTTACCTCGCAGCAACGCGTAATTTGTGGTACCATTCAGAAAGCCTTCACATTCCTGAAAATATGTGAATTATCTTATGAATAGAACCACCCGCTCGCTGTCTCTCTCTATCTTTCTCTCACCTGCATATAAGCCACCCAATCGATCTCGGTGTAGGGCACATGCTGAATAACCAACACGTTGATCACCGCCTCAGCCAAAACAATCAGCAGAGCAACAATCGGCAGAGCCGACGGATCGAGAGCCAAATATCGAGCATATTTCCAGCTAAGATATTTTTCCTTGAACTTCAGTAAGCGGCTGGTCGTCTTTTTACGTCGAGACTCAACACGGCTCTGGCCTTTCGGCGATGCCATTTCTGTGACAATAAATTAATGAGTTTTCCGCTTAAATATGCCACACACACTCAGAACATTAGACACAAAGCAGCTGTGGGCACCCCGAAAAACCAGACGACTCGATATAAGCGGGCCGTTTGCTAGGTGCGCGCAGAAATTCAAATTAGATTCAGTTATTTTATTAAATGCAGATATTCTCCTTGCGAAAGAGTTTTCCAATTACTAAAATGCGCAGAAAGTTTTGCGATGTGTCGAACTGAACAATGTATTGACGAGTGACTCTTTAAGTTAAATTTTACAGCCACTGCTGCCACATCAAACAGCAGAAAAAATTCAGATCAGCTTTTGCTTCGTGTCAACTATCGATTGTAACTTTAAACGATGATTAATTACCAAAATGAGTAACTTAATCAGCTGTAAGTGCTGAATAGTGATGCTAGTTCGTAAAGCGCCAATTTTCTGTTATCATTTCAGATTTGAATATACTGTCCAACTGGTCTTGATAAAAACCAATGGTCCTCCCATTTCTTTAACTTACTGTTTTTTTTTACCCTTCGTTTCGGAATGCAGGGAGCCTATGTGTCAAATAATCGACTCCATTACCGGTTAGTTATCAGCCACTCAGGCACACGAAATCACTAAGCCATGTCCACATGCAAAGCAGTGAGGCGAAGTTACACGCTGAGGGCAACAGTTAAAGCGGGGTGGGCTCCATCATCCCCTTGCGTTTGCTTCAGCGATTCATGTAAATGCTTTAGCCATTTAAAAAGTTACAAGCACATCCTTGTATCACTCTCTGTCTCTCCTTCCCCTTGGCCCATTCATATGCAGGTTTTCAGCACAATTAATTGACAACTTGCGAATGCGAGTGCGGATGTTTTTCAGATTTTCTACAGTTTTTTTTTTTTTTTTGGCTTATTGCTTGTATACAGATAGTGATGCGCAGCGAGCGTTAAAACAAAAAGTTTTATTAATACATAAAATTCTTTTTTTTTTTTTCATTTACATATTTTATAATTTTTTTAAGTAACTAAATACAGCAGCTAAGTAAGCTGAAAATAAATCGGACTTAGTTGACAGCGCAGCTATGCTTATTGAAAGACAGAGTGAGAATGATCACAATTTGAATGGAAGGAGTGTGACGAGTGCAAATGAAAAATAGCTTAATTTGCAGTACCTCTGTACAGGGAGAACGAGAGAGTGTGGGAGATATATTCATAAAAGGAGTACGAGTGAGAGAGAGAGAGAGAGAGAGAGCGAAAAAGTGGGATAGAGATAGAGATGAGAATAGGCTATTAAAAAGGCTAGAGCTCAAGCTGACAGCACTGATGCATTTTTGTAATATTTTCTGGTGTTTTTTTTTTATCTGTACTTTTTTGCAGTCCTTTTTTTGTGGTGGCGTACACGTTCACTAATTGTGCCCAGTGCGCCGTGTATTTTCGAAAAAAGTTGACAAATGGCATGCAAACTGTTTTCCCTGTCCCATGTCCAGGTGAAATGCTCAAATGGCACTGCAATTATGCCAAAGGGCCAGCCAGAATGGCAGTTAGTGCGAGCGAACCAACGAGCGGGGAAGTGTAACTTTCGTACAGATTTCCAGAGAGCCTGTAGGAGTGAGAGGGAAAGAGAGAGCGTTTGTAAGGAATGCGATGCAAAGGGGTTTTACGGTATATTTCAATAAATGCAGCCGAGGAATTTAAAAAAGAATTTAATTTAAGCTTGTTGCTTGACTGCTTACATTTTCAATAAACTCCAATAAATCAGAACCGATATGAAATTCACAAATATCAAGTAGAAAGTATCAATATTAAATATTTCATCTTTGTGGTTAATTAAGTTTGTGCAAAACGACTCTAGCAATCGCTCATACATACATATATTAACATTGGACATACATATGTACATACATATATGAATATTTTGTAATCTTACTATAAGTCTCTGCCACAGTATCAAAGTACACTTTGATATATGTATATAGTATATAGATACATGTAAATTTCTATGTAAATACTACATAGTCCTTGCAAGACTATGGAGAATGCATTTCACTTTTATTGTATATGCATATGTGTATGTATGTACAAATATACATATGTATGTATCTCGATAGCGCAGGCGGGTGTATTGATATTGATGGGTATATGCCGTATTATTCGTATAGTGGCTTTTCTGCTTACTGAAAGTCAGAGATAATCGTGAATATATAACGTACGTCTGAGCAAGTATTAAAGAGTCAGTTGACTCCAATCGGTATTTTTTTCTTGACACCGTCTGTTGTCAGCGTCTACGCTAGTTATCATTTAAATGTAGAGTTTAAATGTACTATATACATACATACATACATAGAACAAAATCGGTCATCGGCTCTTATCATAGAACATATAGGTATATAGATAGGCACATACATATGTATATATTTATGTATAATACATATGCTTGTATGCACAATGGGGGGCTTCTCCATAGATAACTCCTATTATAGCCCACTCAGTGCGAAAATTGTTCATTAATCAACATGCATACATATATACATTTATAGATATATACATACATACGAGTATGTAAATATGCAGACATATACATATATTTATATGTGTATGTGTACATGTATTTGTTATCAACAAAAAACAAAAACAAGAAAAAAATAACTGATAATAGAATCTAGACTTTTACTGTAGATTTACATACATATATACTTACACACATACATCTATGTGTCTTTGTACACATGTAGTATGTACATATGTATGCACATATATGTATGTACATACATATATATATACTGTGTATGCACATATAACGCAAATGTCTGATTATATGTAGCTGACAATCATTTTAATAGTTGCTCATATAGAACTTTGCACTCGCCTTTGCTATATACAAACACACACATACATACATGTATGTATGTGTATTATTAATAATTTATTAATTCTTCGCTTTGAATACAAAATGAGCGCGCCATTTATAAATGTAACAACAATAAGCTGTTAATATGCACACCCATATATGCTGCATATTCAGTACCTATGTATATGTGGGTGATAAAAGGCACAGACGATTTAAAAAAAAAAGAACTGTAAAATGACTGTGATCTGTTTGAATACCCGTGGTCCATCCCATATGCGTGTTTGGATAGTATCATCTCACTCGCACTTGCTCACGTTGGCCCCTGCTATTCGCTATTTTCGAGCTCTTGTTGTTATTGTTATGATAGGCAGCAACAATTGCTTTTACTTTTGCCTTTGCATGTGCCTTTGCTTTGGCACTTTGCTTTGTGTACACACACGGCGAAGGAGACAAAGCGGCCAAACAAACAAACTGTTGATAATTGAGCAGACGTTGAGAATGCGAACGTTGCAAAGCACTAACAAACACACACCTAACACACAACAGCCAAGCACGCACACACATAAAAAGTGACAACACATATGCATGCATTAGATTCACGCATGTTAGTCCAACGTAGACATATAGGCGAAGAGTGGGCGAAACGCAGAGTAGCGGGACAATTTAAGAGTTCAATCATATCAAGCGTCGTTTTTGTCGCGCCGTGTCAATGTTGTTGCTTCTCTCCTCCTACTTCTCTCCCTTCTGATATTTTCCACATGTGCACTGCACACACGTATAGATGTAGAAAAAACCTAAACAAAATACATATATTCGAACCTACCTACATATGTAATAAAAAAAAAGACAACAAATAGCAAAGAAAACACAAATGTGAATAGGCATTTATGACTTATTAGCTCCGCTACAGACAGTCAAATGGACATATACCAGTTTAATGGAAATAGGCATATACAAATTTAATGAATATTTAATGGTTTAAAGTATGAAATTAGCAATAAACATTTAGTTATGTAACCATTAAGGGAGTGCATTTTAATACCCAAAATTAACTTCTTTATTCACATATGTACATTTCCACACACATACATACAGATATGCCGTAGCGTATCGTGCTGTTGTTGTTGCTGCCGCTACTGGTCGACTGCCTGTTGCTGCTCTGCTCTCATTTGCCTATGTTTGCTATCCCGCTTGTTCTCGGCTGGACGTAATAAGCTTACTGCAACTGTGTGGGTGCATATGAAGAGCGCTGCTCGCTCACACGCATATACAACAACATCAATATCAAACACAACAACTACATTCGTATAGCTTTCGTGCTGTGCTGTTTACGACCAACCGACCGACCGACCAAGTAGTCAGCCAGCCAGGCAGGCAGACAGCAGCTGGGGCTGATTTCAGTTTGATTTTGTCAGTGGCCGCGTTCGGTTGTCGTCGGCGAGTTAACGGGACGCGCCTACCAAAAGCCGCTCAAAGCCCAGCTTTTACTTAAGTCTCGAGCCACAAAAACAGAGTCGAGCAGATAAAAGAAGCAGCACTAAAAGTGTTTTTATTTTTTATTTTCTAAATTCGTTTCGTTAAATTCGTTTTTAGTTGTGTGATTTATACTATTATTTGTTCTGGTAAATAGCTCCACGGTTTTTACATATAAAAACAAATCGTCTTAAGACAGCACAAAAAAATTATATTTTTATGAGAACGAAGAAAACAATAACAATATCAGAAAATAAATACACAATAAAAACTGAGAAACATTTTGTTATTGCATGGAAAATTACTACAAAAAATTTCTTGATCGCGTTTCTTTCTTTCTCTCTCTCTCTCTATCTATCTCTCTCTCGCTCTTATTTTATAAACGCTTAAGCAAAAGCAAAGCCAAAAAACAACATGAATTAAAACAACATAAATTGAGTTGACCGGCAATATGTGTTGTTTTTTTTTCTAAATATACATATGTATACATACATATATTTATGATGTTATTGTTTTTCTTGCTAAAATTCGAGTGCTTGTTACGCGCCAAATGCATTTTTGTATTCTATTTGTGAGTGAGAATTCTGTTGCCCTACAAAGCTCTAAATGAAAATAGCATTAAAACAAACAAAAATTCTCTCAATTAAATTTATAATCTTAAGCAACATAAACAGCTCACACACAAGCAAAACTATTCTAAAAACGAACAAGAATTGGACAGTCGCAAAAGCAGAACAAATACATGAGCACGTAAATGGTTCTGTATGTGTGTGTATGTATGTATGTATAGCATAGTATAAGATTGAAAACTAAAAACTCTTCTACTGTTTAAAATTTCGATCTATGCTGCGGTATGTGCAGTTTCAGATAACGGTTGATTCCAAAATAATCATGAGCTCTTATAATTATAATCGCGTATGCATAAATGTATATAGGTTAGTGTCAAAATGTTAAAAGCTCTTATAATGTAACACAAATAGAGTGCATGTAGCATAAGGATTACTTCGAGCAATAGAGGAGATAAAAAAATACTCTTATACTGATTAAGAGTGAGTGAAGTCGTTGACAAATCTAACACGGAAGGAAAGCTTCATTTTCCCTTACATACATATGTATATGTTTTCATGTATCTCTGCACATATTTCATATTTCAATCCCTTTTTCACAGCGCGTTATCAACGTTTTCATGTAAAAGACACAAACAAAGCTGCAGCTGTTATCAGAGCTGCATTTGTATGTATGGAGTACATTGTTCATAAATAAGTAACAGAATCAACGTGTTGCCATCTTATCAGCTACGTAAAAAGAAAAACAAGAATAAAAAGGAGCTTTGAAAGCGATCTCAAAACAACAGAAACAACAGAAAAACCGCCGCCGTTAACAACAACAAATACATGTAAAAGAAGAAGAAAAACGAGCGGAACAACAAAAACAGTCAGAACGAGTAACTGTTATTAGGTGAAGAGAGAATCTACAGATACTTCAGCCGGCTCTATGGGTAAGAACTTTTTTGATATGCACGTAACCATTTAATTAAAAATTAAAAAAAAAAACTGATATGTGGAAAAATACGAATGTTTAAACCTAAAGGCTAACGCAGTCAATATAAATTACAAATTTTTTAATAGATATATGCATGTTTATTTAGATATGTATATATACATACATGGGTACATCTAATAAATTATTTTTAAAATGATTATTAAATATTATAAAATATAATTTATTATTTCATAGTTTAAGAATTGCTGAACTCAAGTTAACGAAAATCCTTGCCAACTCCTTTCCATTTCCATTCTCCTCTCCCTTCTGGTCCTAATTGCGTATTTGTGTATGACCGTGTGCGTCTGCTCTTCTCGAAGTGCACTGGCAAATGCCAAACAAGTCAACTTGGAATTGGCCAAAATTGTTCTAAAATCGGATTGCAACTGACCAAAAATCAAATCAGAAGTCAAAACTTGATGAGACCTGCAACTGATTGACAGTTGTAGAAAGAGTGAGGCGGATGCTGGAGGTAGCATCTTTAGCAACCTCTAAGCTCCTGGTCAGCCATTCAGCCCTCCCACCCTGCTTGTGTATTTGTATTAGATATATGTATGTATGTATATACACTTGTGTGTGTGTGAGCGAGCATTGGAAATGTGGGCAAGAGCAATCTGATTGAACACATTCAATCCGCATTCAGTTTGGCTGTAAAATTAGTCAAGTTCTTTTAACTGTATTGAGCGTAAGGAGAACAAGAACCAATAAGTCAGAATACTATCAGTTGGCTGTACCCGACTGCAAGCTACTCGTGTACTTGTTGCTAAGCAAGCTAAAAGAGCTTGGCTATATCTAAACCCTGTTATATTCGAAATTCCAAGTGGTGATAAAGATTTAGAAACTCATGTATTCGAATTTAACACACGCAACATGTATGACTGATGCCAAAATACCCGCGTTGACTTTGCGAACGAGCATAGAGCAAAAAACAACCGAAAATTTGTTGAGAAAATTTGCCACTTGACCTACCGCACTCAAATCTAAATTAAGCAACAAATTTTTTACGCGTTCTCTCTCTCCCTCTTATTCGCTTCTTTCGCCGTTCATTTCATTAACTCTTGCAATTCTACAATATACATGTATGTGTGTGTGTGGCTGTCGACATAGCAAGTGTCAGCAGATTCTTCAATTCGCTTTCAACCGTTATTTCGCGGATGCCCATCAGTACACTGTACAAAACCAGGTTATATTAGCGACTCGTACTGTTGTTTACTGGGTATGAAATTACGGATCATTTGACATGTTAATTTCTTTGTTTTGTTAATGCTGACCTCTAATCTTTTTTCTGATATTTGTTTGTGCATTCCACAAGTCAACAACTTGACCCAAACTTTTTTTGTAGGGTACTGATAGCTTTCTTCGGAGAGCTGATTATGAGATAATCTGTACTGCTTTGAGTTAATGGTAATATTGAGTTGCAGAGAAACCTTTCAACATGCTTTCAATTAATTAAGAGCAACTTTTTAAGCTGGATTTTCAATTAGCAACAGCTGAAAAAAAAACAAAGAACAAAAAATGAAGAAGTTTTTAATCACAGCATTTACAATGTTTTGTATTATCAGAGTGTACTCATGCACACACACACACACAGACACACACATGTACATGCATATTACAAATCATAAATTAAATCCGCAGTCAGGTGATGCCGTTAGTTTTTGTAGCTGCGAGACACACACAGCAACGCAAGCATACACGCACACACGCACACACAGTTGTTGTGTGCGTGCAAGTATTTATAATTTGCAGTAAGCTACCATTCAATCATTAACATTTAGGTGTGAGAGAGAGAGAGGTTGAATATTATTGAGAGAGATGTGTGAGAGAGTAGTTGGGTTAGGGCAATGAAAGCGCAAAACAAAAACACAAATACAAAATACATAAGAACAAAAACGAAAAAAAGTTAAAAAAAAAGAGAAGAACTGAAGCAGTTTATGCCAATTATGATATCAATTGTTGCCATGCCAACAGCGCAAGAGAGCGCCCCGCACATACATACATACCTATGTATGTATGTATATACATAGACAGATATTGTGCAGTTGAATAACTGTTTTTATTTTGTTATACATTTGTATACATGGATGTGTTTTTCGCGACCTCTCTTCTTCTGCTCTGTTGCTAAGCTTGCAATGTGTGTGCGTGCGTGTGTGTGTGTGCGGCAGTCAGACACTTGAACTGAACTGCTTGAAGTCTGTCTGTAACTATATTTCATTGAATTTTAAGCGCTACTTGAGTGTTTGTAGTGCCTGCCACTGGGAACACCAAATGAAAATTAATCAATAGGCTATTCGCAATGGGCATTAGCTGAACAAAGATTTTCATTTATGCTGAAAATTCTGTTGGCTTGCTAAGGAAGTGGGCGTCGCATGCTGCATGCTGCATGCTGCATGTGGCATTTGCATCGGAAGATGGCAGCTCGCTTACTTTGCTCACATTACTGTCATTTCTATGGTCGCAAATTGAGGTGAGTGAACTTGCATCAGTAGCAGCAACAACAGCAGCAACCAACAACAGCCGGAGAAACGAACAGCAACAACAACAGCAATTCACCAATTGGATGACTCTCCTAGCTGGAGTGAAGCCAACTACACGAGTTTCCAACATTCTCCTCTAGCCCGCCCACGCACTGAAAATCTGATAATGAAAAACAGGGGTCTCATAAATTTAGCATTCAATTTGCAGTCTTTACCTTGCATTTACTCTCAACTCCGTTATTCTATGTTTGCTTGTAAGAGTCTTATAAATAAGATAGGCTTTGCATGCTAGCTTCTGGAATGAATCTGTGGGTATATTGGTTTCCTGTCAGTGCATGCAATGGGATAAGTAGACAGAAGGAGGCGTTGCTCTGGTCAGGACTTGCTGTCTATATGGCGAAACAGAATCTATACAAATACAACTATAAGAATGAGCAGACATATGTATGTGTATAATGACAAAGAATATAAGAGTCGTAAAGTAAGCAAGTATGCTCTATGAGCATAAAAGTCGATAGCAATCTTCATTTATTCAATTACATCTCTGCAAAAAGTATTTGTAGATTCGAGATAAAAGATTAGCTTGACTGTTAGAAGTGGGTTAGCGAATTTTCTAGTCGGGCAGTTCATACTGATGCACTTCCTTTTACCTTCTGCCTTCATTATTGTTATTCCTCATTTTGCTGTTGCTTTCTCTGCTTGCAGCTCGATTTGGGCTTTTATTTTGGCTTTTGTTTTTGTTGGGCTTCAAAGTTTGCTTTTAATTACGCCATTTTCACTCACCTTGCCTTTTCCCCATTACAATTGTGGTTTATATTCTGAATATTTTCCTCGGCTCGCCTCAGTTTTTCCCAACTCGTTTTCAATTAGAGCCCCCAACGTTTTTGTGCTTCGTGCTGCCAATTTTAGTGCCTTGTTTATGGCAAAGCGATTTGCTGGTTGAGGTGCGAATTTAGTTAATGAAACGAAACACTTAATTGATTGCCATGCAAAAATCGAATGCTTACCTTGGGTGCTGCTCGATCATTGCAGCAGGTGAGAAATGAGCAATCAGGTATGCGCACTGAGAACCGAGGAGTGGGAGCAGTAGGCAGAGATATAGGAATAAAACCTGATATCGCTAATCAAGATTGATTGACGAACGATGGAACAGCTATAAACACTGTGAATTATATATTGTTAATCTAATCAATTTGGGCTTCACTTGTTGTTCTTGCTGCTGTTGTTGTCTTCGCACCTGGCAACGGGTACAAAAATATCAAGCAGCCGTCGAATAAATAAATACAAAAATAAAATCAATATATCTGCATTCTCACTGTGTGAATAATATATTAAATATATACTCAGCAATTAGTTAAAATATGCAATATAATTTAAGAAACCTAAACACATACTTTTGTTTTTTAAAATATATGACATTTTTATACAAGATTTGCTTATCAGAAAGAATCAATTTCATTAAATTTTTTACTAATATTTTTTTTTATATGTATTCATTTAGTTTGTGTAAATGGGAATCAGTTACAATTAGTTTGGCTGCCACTTGATCTATTCAATTGCCCCCGAGTGTGTGCTCATGGGTGTCTGTGTGTGTGTGTGTGAGGTGGGTGCCCTGCATCTTGCGTTATATTTGATTATTTCGAGTAGGTTTAATGATATTGTAAATGGATTTTAATTTGCGAATGAGTTGATTAGGCAGCTAATTGAAGCATTAATGCTTGAGTCAAGCAAAACGGAAATTCAATTAGTTCATTTCGATGCTACCTGCTGGGTGATGCAAGTGTGTGGCATGTGGTATGTGGCAGGTGGCAGGTGGCAGCTCAATCAACAAGCAGAACACTTGGCATACGTGAGAGTTGAGCTCTAATGCTTGATCACAAATCCAAAAGTGAGGTATATTGGTTTCATGCTCTTCAAGGATATATATATATCAACGTATTTTCCCCCCTGCAATACAATTGGGGCATTTCTTCCATGTGAACAAATGCCATTCAGCTGTGTATACCCGACGGCACTTTACACATTTTCTCTTGGCATTTGGCAAGTTTGCGAAATAGTTTTAAATACTATTTGCATTTCTATTTTCGACTCGCGTGACTCGTTGTTTATGTCGTGCAGCTCGAAAGGAAAACAACATGGGCTAGAAGAAGAATGGCATGGGAATGGAAGAAAAACAATTTATATATTGTTAAATTATATTTAAATTAAATAATTGTGATGGCAGATAGAATATTGAGCCATCCTCCTGCCAGCATCCGCTTGACTGTTTTGGACACGTTGTCAGCTGGGCAGGCTGCATGGATGCAACAAAAGATGCACGAGGTGAAAGTCTTTATTTGACTGTTGGCCACAATTGCAAAATATCAAAAGTTAACACAGAGAGAGGGCGAGAGAGAAGGAGGGGGAGAGAGAGATGCGGGAAGGGAGATGGCAATCTTTGCTGTCTTTGACAGCCAGACAGAAAGGCTTTGTGTGAAAA